CAGAAGAGGGCATTGCATCACCTGGAACTGGAGTTAACAGTGATAGCCATCATTTGGGTGCTGGGAACGGAACCCAAGCCCTGTGGAAGAGTAGCCAGTGCTCTTAACCCCTGAGCCTTCTCTCCTTCCCGTGTGCAGTATTTTTGTTTCCTGATCCAGATACTACCAAATACACATATGGAGTTTGATTTCTCTATTTGCCTCTGTAGACACTTCCTGTTTCACTTAATAACATGTTTTATAAATTTGTCTGTTAGTACATGGAAAGGTTCCATCATTGTTATTGCTGCGTAATACTTCTTTGTAGTACTCTACCTCTGATGAATTGATAACATTAGTTTGTTTGTTGAAGACCATTTGAGTTGATTGCAGTCTTTTTCTATTGCAGATTATGTGGTAATGAATATTTTTTTTCCTGTGTAATTGAAATTCACCTTAGTCAAGTTAGGTGTATTTATTATCAACTTAATACTCCAAATGAAGGTTTTTATTTTTAGAGAGATTTTTCACAACACATCATAGAATAAGATTAGATTATGTGTATGTAGAATATTTTGTTTACATTGTGCCAAAGATAAAATTAAATTAGCACATAATTTATGCAGATGTATATAATTTTGAAATTATGTGTGAAAAAAAGAAACCCTTTCTTATCCAATACCCATATGTTTTGTTTTAAAAGCATTGGGCTTTTGTTTGTACTTCCCAGTGAGGGCAGCTGACTTTTCTTGTATTCAGTGCTGATTTTTTCCATCCTTTGCCATCCTTTTTTGGAGGACAGTAAAGAGACTTACTTTAGAAAGAATTTGAGAAAGTTCTTTTCAGTGAAACCAAACCAAAGTGAATGCTGTCAGTGAATCCTGAGGATTAGAAACATCCAAAGCCCCCATCCAGCAGTGACGGTCATCATCAGTAGCTTCATCGAGGAGACTCTTAGCTGGAGATGTTTTTGTTGCTGCTGCTGCTTTTGGCTTCTGGTGGGTGAGTGCATAGCAGCAAGAAAGAACACAGTGAAGGTGGTAGAGTTTGGTACTGCTGGTGTGCTATGTGCTGCAGCCCTCAGGGCCGACCGACATCAGGGAAAAGGCAGAAGAGTCTGGGACACCCTGGCCTTCACATTCTGTGCTTTGTGAAAGAACTGTATTTCATACCTCCTAGATTTCTAGATTAAACATTTAATGCTAAAGCTTTTGTAAAGATGGGCTTGTCCTCATGCAGTTGGTCACTCCCGTGTCACTGTGGCACTTCGTGGAGAAGATGGGATGAAATGCAAGACTTCTTGAGAGAAGCCCGAGAGAGCCTGGCTTCTTGTTACTGAGATCAAATTCTGCTGCACCAGGGCTGTCACTGGCTAAGCCTTCTTTCAAGGGATGCAAGAGCGTGTGAGCAGGTCATACAGCTTCACTACAATGCCTGGAACTGAAAGCGGTTCAGGTTTTAGAGGGTTTTCTAGATTTGAGGATATTTGAGCAGACTTGACTGACTGAACATCCCTGTTTCAAAACTTTTGACATCTTCACACTGTTTTTCTTTGATTCTGTGGGAAATGCAAGAAAACTCCATTTCATTAATCTGATAGCAACCCCAAGCCCCAGCCATTGACACTGACACTGACCCAGGCACCTCTGGCCTCTTCTGGAGTGTTCTTCACATGTGCATACTAGCTGCACCTGCACAGCTCCTCGTCTCCTGGCAGGAAGCATGGTCACTAGTTAAGCATCCAAGGAGCCCAAGTTCAGAGAATGCCACCTATATTTGATTGCTTCATTGGAGCAGCAATCAAGAATATAGTCATATTGTCAGCTTGGAGAGTAGAGCAGGCAACATCTGGCACAGTTTCAAGCCTAAGAAAATGTGACAATCTAGTGAATTTCCTAATCCTCTTAAAGCAGTGTTCCTTTCAAACCAGAGAGACTGGTTCCTTGTCTGCAGGTGGGGCTGACCAGGGCCTAAGAAATGGGGAGAAGGGACACATTGTGTCTTGTCCCTGGAGTCTGCCTGTCTGGTGCTTGTGGGAGGAGTTCATACTTATCTTCTTCCACAGTGAACTCTTTTCATAGAGAGAAATGAATCCTTTGGAATCTTGCAGTGAAATCCTATGCCTTTCAGAAGTTTTCTCAAAGTGCCCATGAACCCAGTGTGTAAAATGCTGTCCACTGAACGGGATGACTAAAGCTCCAGCATCTCCAGACCGCTTACCTCTTTGCTGGTTCTCCGTGCAGGGTGGGCATGGGGGTGCCACTCAAGCCTGGCCCCAGGAGCTGGTTGTGTTAAGGACTGCCTTTGTAATGGACAGAGAGCCTGCTGTTCCTCAAAGATGTTCTAGTACACTCAGCTCAATTCTGAAGCCTGTGGGGTTTACCTCTGAGCATTAGCCACATTCAGTCAGTAGAAATAGCTGACTGAAGAAGGGGTGCAGGGTCAGGGCTGTGAAGCAGGCTTTACATTGATATATCGTTTCCTAAGTGTGATATACAAAAAAACTCCCATATGTGGATGTGTTCCTGTGATCAGTTAAGTGAAGTAGTGATACTGTCAACTCAAATGCTATCGAGAAGGGGAGAACGTGGTCCCCCCAAGAGGGTCCTTAGTCTCCTTAATAAAAGAAGTTAAGAATGGACTCAAGTGGAAGCCTTAGGACAACTTTATTAGAATTTAAGGAAAAGTCCTCAGAGCCAGTAAGCCATAGCTCAGCAGCAGCCTGGAGGAGGTGAGTGGGAGGGAGCAGGGAAAAAGCTAGGAAGCTGTGCTGCTTTAGAGCCCCTGGAGGCCAGAGACACACATGGCGACTAGCCCACCCCGTGGCAGGTAAGAGAAGGGCGTTGTAGAGAAAAAGGTGAAGAAACTCAAAACGCTGGTACGTTCTGGAAAGCGTGGGTAGAAAAGAGAATGAAGAAGGAAAGGAGAAATTAGGCTTTTCTGAATTCAAGCGGGCAAAACTCAGGGAGAGCCACGTCTGCTTGTGACTTAATCCACAAGAACTGCAGTATGTGTAGAGATTCCAGGCTGGAAACCTTCGCCCTCATTAAGGCACTAGGTATTCAGCCCATTTCTTTAACATGGCTTAAGGTGAACCTGCCTTCCTAGGGGCGGTCCTGTGATCAGGTGATCTGGCAAAACTGGAAAGCTGGGTCTTCATCCAGACCACAGGTTATTTGACCAGCTTCTCCCAGGGGACTTTTTGCCACTGTAGCACTTTTTTTTTAAAAAAAAAAAAAAAAAAACATAATCCATTACCAGTATATTTTGCCACCTGCAAGTTTGAGACATGGGGCTTTACTTGTGGTTGAAATAGATCCAGCTAAGCAAAGTCTGTGCAGCAAGCTCCTGTGCATGGCTGTTGAGCGTTCCTGGTCACCTAGGCAGGAGGAGTGGAAGAGAAGAAAGCAAGCAAAGACTTTCTTCCGTGTCAGCACTGTTCAGAGCCGTGTGACTTAGGTGGTAAAGGTGGCCTGAGACCACAGACTCTAAGTGTGAAATGGCAGGGGCCTGGATGTCTTTTAGAATTCAGAAGGATAATAAAATACACGTACCACATATTAATATTCTTAGTGGATATGGGACGACACTTCCCAGCCAAATACATGAATATACATAGGGAGATATGAATATTCATACAAAGAAAAGCAAATTAAAAGTTGTGGTGTCAGCCCCTTTATCAAATTTTGCAGTCAAGTGTGTTTGCTTAAATCGGTTTTTAAAAAATTTTTCAGCTTGAGAATTGGACCTACGTGTGCAATGACAGAAGCATAATGGGACCAGGTGGTTAAGTCCTGGTGACACTTAGTGGGTCTTTACCGTAGAACTTTGGTTTGTGACCTTGTGTTCTGGGCTACTTACCTTCTATTCGCTCATCTGTCAGATATGTCAGATCAACCCTGTAGGCTGTTCTGGGGCTAAGGTGTATATTAGATACTGTATGTACATGGTGTTTGACAGATAGCAGGGATTCAACAGGCATTAATTATTAAAATTCCCCTTGCCAGGCATGGTGGCATGCACCTGTAGTCACAGATACTCAGGAGACTAAAGCAGGAGAGTTATTTGGACTCAGGAATTTGGGGCCTGCTTTTATGCAATGCTGGGGGTGGAACCCAGAGTGCCTCCTGAGTGACACCACCGAGCTACATCTTCAGTCTCCCTGTTCTTTTCACGAGATGAAAAGTCACACATAAGTGGCTGCATGTCATTGTGGAAGTAGGATTTGGAGCTCAGAACTGACCGGGTGTCTATATTTTAAATTGCAGGTTTGTTTGTTTCTTATTCAGAGTCCAGTATCATCTTAAAAGTAGCTTACAGGGTGATTAGGCTTTTCTGTGATGATTAGGTACTTTAATTACTGTTCTGTCACATTTAAATCTTTGGAATGTTTCACTTTAAGTGCAACTGCGGAAGGAATATTTGCCTCTGGCTGTTTTGCCATCTGGAAGCCCCTGTCTGCTTCCTCTTTCTAGGCTCTTGCCTTTGAGAAAAATGTTTGAAAAAGGTTTCTCTAGTATATTGCTGGTCATGGGTTTGCAGCTTAACATGTTGGACAAATGGTGCTGGGTGGCAAGTCTACTCTAATTTTTAAAAAACTAGGGTATTAACGGGCTTTTTAGTTTAAAACAGTTTATTCTGAGGTATGTTTTGTTAAATAGACTCTGCTTTTAAGTGTTTAAGGCTTCGATTTCATAAAGGAAGAGATCATTGAGAAGTAATTGCCAATTGTGGTCAGGCCATTCCTTTGTGCTTTCTGAAATCCTACCATCTGCTCTGATGATGCATGATTGTGGCACAGAAGCAATCTCAATTTACCCCATGCTCTGTTTTCTCAGCTTGGGAGGATTATAGGTGTTTGCTCGCTGTAAAGCTTTTGGATCCAAGACAGAAGAATTAAAACAAGAATTTTATGAGAAGGATGGTGGCTCTTTGCTGGGCATGTGCCCTACAAGGCTTGTTAGGGCTGAATGGTAGCTTCAGCTGTGTATAATTACATCCTGGATCTTCTGTCTCCACAGCTGAACTATCAGCAGAAAGTCGGCATCATGTACTGCAAAGCAGGCCAGAGCACGGAGGAAGAGATGTACAACAATGAATCGGCAGGCCCAGCCTTTGAGGAATTCCTTCAGCTCTTGGGAGAACGAGTTCGGCTGAAAGGATTTGAGAAGTATCGTGCACAGCTCGACACCAAAAGTAAGACATGCTTACACCTTCCTACCATGCCTGATCTCCTTCTGCAGTTTGGATTGCATCTGCCAAATCAACCATGAAATAGCACCGCCACTTACTGCAGAGAACAGAGGAGAGCACAGCAGGCAGGAGGGGCAGGGCCAGAACCAGTGAAGAGCGTAATAGAGCAGCTGGGCTGGATTGTGATGCAGTGATGGCTTCAGAGCGGTGGATGGGGTAGGGAAGTAGATGCACATCGCACAGAATTGCTCTAGGATAGAATTGCAGATGTTTCATCACACATAGCTCAGTGTTATGGTGACTTGAAAATCCAGAAACTTACTATCTGATTCTAAGCCCTAATGTACTGTTACTGATTTACTTTGTAGTCCTCACGCTCTTCCAGGCTTTATGTTTTTTTTTTTAATTAATTTATTTGTTTTTATTTTATGTATACAAGTGTATTGCCTGCATGTATATAAATGCACTGGTGTCATGCAGTGCCCATGGAGACCAGAAGAGGATGTCAGATTCCCTCAAACTAGAATTGCCGATGGTTGTTAGCCACCATGTGGGTGCTGGGAATTGAACCCAGGTTCTCCTGAAGAGCAGACAGTGCTTTTAACCTCTGAGCCATCTCTCCAGCCCATTTTTTAAAAAATATGATGTGTGTGTAATGTGTGTAGGGTACACATGGCACAGTGCGAGCATGTGGAGTCAGTTCTCTTCTTCCACCTTTACCTGGGTTCCGGGGATCAAACTCAGGTCACTAGGCTGGTAGTGAACATCTCTGCCCACAGAGCCATCTCATGGCCCTGTTCTTACCTTCTTTTACTACTTAAGAGTTCTTTGTTTCTATTGCCTATATTATGTTTTTTTTGGTGTCTGTGTGTGTGCATATGCATGTGTGTGTGTGTGTGTGTGTGTACATATGTGTACGTGGCGGAGAGACAGAGGTCCATCATGGGTGTTATTACTCTAGAGGTATCTACCTTGTCTTTGAGACAGAATCTCTTGTTGATCTGGAGTTGGCCAAGTAAGCCCAGCTGGCCGACAGTGAGCCCAAGGGTCCACCTGTCTCATCTCTGCTTCCTCAGTGTTAGAATTACAGGCATGAACCACCATGACCTGCTTTTTTTTTTCATATTTTATTATTTTTATTTTATATGTATGCGAGTATTGCCTGCATGTAGGTTAAGTGCACCTGTGTTGTGCAATGCCTGCAGAGGACAGAAGATGCTGTTGGATCCCCTCAGACTGGAGTTACGGACAGCCGTTAGCTGCCATGTGGGTGCTGGGATTCAAACCCAGGTCTTCTGCAAGAACAACCAGGGCTCTTTTTTTTTTTTTCAAATGTGTATGAGTATATTGCCTGCATGTATGTGAGTGCACCCGTGTCGTGCAATGCTGTGGAGGTCAGAAGGGGGCTTTGGATTCCCCTGGAACTGGAGTTAAGGACGCTTCGTAGCTGCCACGTGGGTGCTGGGAATCGAATCCGGGTCCTCTGCAAGAGCAGTCAGTGCTCTTAACCGCTGAGCCATCTCTCCAGCTCCATGAACAACCAGGGCTCTTAACCTCTGAGCCATCTCTCCAGTCCCATGACCTGCTTTTTTTTTAATGTGGGTTCTAGAGAATCAAACTCAGGTCCTCATGGCAAGCACTTTACCAATTCAGCCATCTCCCCAGATGATTTTTTTCTTATTCTTTTGAATGTTTTCACACTGCTTACCATGGTACTTGGTCCACATTCACCATCTCCTGTTCTCCTGCTCTCACTGGTTGTCTTCCTCTACCCAGTCTCCTCCTGCTCTCTTGTTACAGAATTCTTTAAAAAAAAAAAAGGACGGGGGGCGGGGGGCTTGTTAGTTTGGTTCATAAAATGTGTCGATTAAAGCCCAGTAATGAAGCAGTCTGTTTAAGTGCGGTGCAGAGCCCTGCAGGGTCATCCACCTCCTTCCCATCAGGCAGGAACTAAGCTCTCAGGTGTCTGTTCGGGTGCCTTATATTGACTGCTGCCACATGCCTATGGAGGCAGTTTAATCAGAGGTCTATCCATAGGCACCTGAGGCCTGTTTTCTTTGAGAGAGTCTTTGGATTAGCACATATGTATTACAGTCTACAGTAATCTCACTGGTTTTCTGTACAGGAAATTAAATAAGGCGTTGACTCATGAAAACAGAAAAGCATTCATAAACTCCACTGCAGGGAAGAATTTTCTGTTGCCATGGTTTTGCTGTTGCCAGCTTGGAAACGATGTGCAAGAAAGACTATTAAAACCCATAAATAGCCTAGCCTCTTAAGTATTCTAACATTCTGCATTCTGCTTGCAATGGCATAAGACATTAAATCTCTAGATGCCCTTAAGCTCCTCTATGAAGATATTCTGATGTCCACCCTCTACAGCCCATTCATGTTGCCTTGTCATGCTGTCTAAATCGTCATCACCTTACAGAACTGCAGAAAGGAAATTGTGCAGTAAGTGGCCTGGTTCTGTAAAGGACTGGTCAGATGGGGAGTCCACGAGTTTGCATGTCATCTGAGTCTCCACATTCCTAGCCAGCTCTTCATGACGTGGTCAAGGTGTCCCCCAAGTGACAGTTAAGCCCTGTGGCCTCTAATTAAGCAATGGAATATGCAGGATAAGCACTTGCACATATTTGGCCCAAATACTGACAACCTGAAGGCTAGAGGGGGATGAGCCTCTTGGCAAACTGCCTCTGACAGTCTTAGAATTACATAATATATCCCAAAAGGAAATGTTCTTTTTTCATGAAGTGCTCTCTGACATACTTCCTCAAGAGGATCCATGGAGGGTTTACTTCTGTGCTTTTCAAAATATCTTAGTTTGTTTCTCTTTGCTGTAATAAAATACCTGAAGCTAGACAATAAAGAAAATGGGTCAGGCCATTTCTGGAGGTACAAGAGCTTGGTACTGTCTTTGCTCTGCTCCAGTGAGGGCCTCCTGATGCCCAATGCTGAGGGTGCATGTGGAAGAGGCCACAGGATGAGACAGGAAACAGAAATGGGAGGGGCCGGTCTTGCTCTTTTTGTAACAGCCCAGTCCTGTGAGGACTTACTCACAGTGCTACCACTGACCTAACCACCTAGTAGGTCCCACCTTTAAAGACTCCCCAACCTCTTCTACCACACCAGGAACCAAGCCTCTAGGACATGAACCTTGGAGAGCACATTCAGATCATATCCAGACCATAACAGGGTACTGTGTTCCCTAAAGTAAGAAAGAAGTGCTAAAGTGTTTCCATTCAAAAGCCTGAAGGAGGCAATGTGCAGAATTTGCTCTTCTTTCCCAAGCTGATAAGGCAAAACTACAGCAGTCCAGCGGCCTCATCATCTAACCCATATTAGGTAGTAAACAGCCAGCCTCTGCACGCTCCACAAGCCCCTTACCAGCCTCAATTCACCCCACGATAAGACTTGGCTCACTGCTTGTTCATAGTCTTGCCTTCTTTTGTCTGTCTTTATAATGTCAAAATTCATTGTGGTTTTTTTTGGTTTTTTTGTTTTTATTTTTGGTCTTTTTGAGACAGGGTATCCTTGTAGCCCCAGCTGTCCTGGAACTCACTATGTAGACCAGGCTGGCCTTGAACTCACAAAGATATGCCTGCCTCTGCCTCCTGAGTGCTGGGATTAAAGGCATGTGCTACCATGCCTGGCTAATAATGGGGTTATTTTAAGGGGAAGGGGGAAGCCTGGTCTACATAGTGAGTTCCAGGACAGCTGGGGCTACAAGGAGACCCTTCTTCAAAAAGACAAAAAGAAAAAAGAACTTTTGGTGTTTTAGAGACAGGCTGTCCCTGTAGCCCCAGTCTGCCTGGAGCTAACAGTGTAGACTAGGCTGGCCACCATCTCACAGAAATCCACCTGTCTCTCCTGGCATTAAAGGCATGCACCACTGTGCCTAGCTCTAAATATAATTTTTTAAATATTTTTTATTTTATTTTCTGTGTATTAGTGTTGTACCTACTTGTGTGTAAGTGCACCTGTGTCATGCAGTGCCCTTGGAGGTCAGAAGAGGGTGTCAGATCCCCTGGAATTGGAGTTACCAACAGTTGTTAGCCCATGTGGGCACTAGGAATTGAACCCAGGTCCTCTGCAAGAACAACCAGTGCTCTTAATCCCTGAGCCAACTCTCCAGCCCCCTAAATATAATTCTTAAAAGGAAAAAATGCTATGGTGGCACATGGCTGTAATTCCAGAATTTAGGAGGTAGAAGCAGGAGGATCAGAGAAGTTGAGTGTTGTGAGTTTGAGGCCAGCCTGAGTATATGAGATTCTGTCTCAAAAATAAATAAATAAATAAATAAATAAATAAATAATAAATTATAAGGATGCATGCTTTCTAAGCAAATACTCTTAAAGACTGGTTCTCACAGTAGGTAGAGCTCATTCAAATATGAACTTCCAGTTTTCACCAAATTAAAATACTTGTCATGATTTTATTATTGTGTTTCACCTTCCACGTTTCCAGTTACACAAGTGTTGTATATGACACTGTGTTCCAAAGGTTACTGAGGCTCTGGTTTGTTTGTTTTTCTTTTCTTTCTTTCTTCTTTCTTTTTTTTTTTTTTTTTTTTTTTTTTTTTTTTGATCTTTTTGCTGATTGTCTTTTGACAGCATCTCCCTAGTCACAGCCTATCTGGAAGTCTTGATGTGAACCAGGGTGGCCTGGAATCTCACAAATATCCCACCTACCTCTGCCTCCCTAGGACCGGGATTAAAGGCTCATGCCACCATGCTGGTCATTTTGTTTGTTTTTCAATGTTTTCCATTCTCTGATCTTCATTCGGTTCACCTTGAACAGTTTTGACTGTTAAAGTCTTCATCTGCTAACCATACCTATTCTGTCATTTGCAGTTTCCCTCTTTTAATGGATCTTCTATTTTGACTTAGGTTTTCCTACTTCACTTGGCTGGTTATTTGTTGGGCTCTGCATGCTTTAACTATCATCGAGTTTCTGGATTTTGTTGTCATCTTTGAAGGAGGGTATTGAGTTTTGTGTGGTCT